ATTTTTGTGGTGAGGATGTAGAAGAGGTTTTCTTCTGATGACTCTTCCATGAAGACCATATTTGTACAAGTATCTCTTTATAGTGGAATAGTGTACCACAACTCTAGTGTCTGCCAGATCTTTCTGGAGGGATTGTGCAGTCAAACGTGGGTTTTGAATTGTTTTTCTCTCACAATCCTGCGAGCTGTTCTGTCTGATATTTTTCTTGGTTTCCAGATGTTGCTTTAACTTCCACTGTTCCTGATGACTGCCATTTCTTAATTACATTCCGAACAGAGGATATTGACATCTGAAAACGCTTTGCTATCTTCTTATAGCCTTCTCCAGCTTTGTGAGCGGCAACTATTTTCAGTTTCAGTTTTCTAGACAACTGCTTAGAAGAAGCCATGGTGCTGATTGTTGGGGCAAGGTCAGATGAGTCTGGGCATTTAAAACCTTTGAGATTGACATCACCTGGTCTTCCCAGACGATGATTGAGAACAATCCATGACACTAGCAGGTCTCAGCTTTGCAAAGGGGGCAGTGCATGCTATAAATTCTGCAGGGTGCCCAAACTTTTGCAGACGCCATTTTTTTATTTTCTGTTATTTTGAAAGTGTAAATGATGGAAATAAAATCTAACTTTTGTTGATATATTATAAGAATGTCTAATCTGTAATTTGATGCCTTTTGGAGATTTTTCCATCTTTCCTTGGCTTCTTTATGCACATTAATACAAATTTTTAGCTGGGGTGCCCAAACTTTCGATCCCCACTGTATATATATATATATATATATATCTTAGTTACATGTCTTTGTAAATATTTTATTGCACCTGTTTGACTCTTTTAGTAATAAATTTCTCTTTCTGAAAGTGTTAAACTGTTTTTAAGTACTTACTTGCAATTCACGAATTCCTGCCCTTTGAAGAGACGCTACTGTGTTTGTTTAATCCTCTGCCCAATCGGCCTGCGGTGACCGTATTGGACAGGCGACTTTTCAATCATTATAGTGTATATTTGATAACGGGAGTTTCCCAGTCTCCGACAAAAGTGGTGGTGGCAGTAGAGGGTTAGTTGCGTAATTAACCCGACCCAGTAACAAGCGCATTCAGGCTGTAGGCACCGATTGTAGCCCATTAGCTGGACAATCGCTGTGCAGCTGGGTGTGGCCTTGTTACGCGCGTCACACCACGGTTTTAGATCGGCTGGTCTTTTGGTCATGAGTTTGGTGAGAAGGTATGGGGTCTGACGCCGTGGACGTGATGTATTATTGTTGGTCGCAGTCGTGCGATTGTCGCATGTTGGTGGCGGCGATCGTGACAATCAGTGCTAATAAAAAGCACTAACACTGCACTAAAGGCACTGGGCAGGAAGGGGTTAACATCTGGTGCGATTAAAAGGTTAACTGTGTGCTGTTTTACTAGGGAAACCTGTTGCAGAGCAATACAAAGGAGCATGTTGGTGCTGACAGGGGAGAGATCTGTGTTGTTTACATACATACTTCTCCCTGTCACTGTTCCTCCGCGATCGCTGGGTGCTGGCAAGGAATCTCTGGCGGGACCTGGTGATAGACAGCTGTAGCAACCAATGGCGGTGGGGGAAGGAGGGGGCATGCACTCTCTACCTGGAAATACAAAATCACGTGTGTGTGTGATTTTGCACAGCCCTGCCGCCCTGTAGCAGTAGTTCTGCTGTAGGGCAGCAAGGAACCGGTTTAAAGCATATTTATGGTCAGAATGTAAAAGAATCTGTTTTCCACATTGTATTTTTAATTATTTTTAGCATACTCCTTTTGATCTGAACAATCTTGCAGTTTGTAAACATACTTTGTGATGATCCTCACACCTTTTTTGCCCTGAGCTCTGTGACATGTAGTCATTATGCCCTGTGAGCAGGCACTGCTGTGTCACACATTCACAGAGCCCGCCTTCTGAACTAGAGGTGACGAGGAGGAGTTTTAGGGGGTGGAGTCCGAAGATATGCTGGTAGGTTCCTATCTAAATTCGTCCTACTATGTATGAATGTGAGTTGGGGACCTTCGATTGTACACTCCTTGAGGATTAGAGACTGATGTCAATGTAATACACGCACACAGAATAATGTATAAGAAGTAGTAAAGAGCGCCTTAGTAAAAACCAACAAGCTGCTATGCACAAGATAGATACCAATGACCTACGGAATAGACAATATATATGGAAGGTGCAGCGCTTATAAACAAAATATATGAAAAAGTCCCTGATGGATCAAGAAACCTAAGGATATGGGGTAGTCCCGTAAAAACACAAGTAAATATAATTGGTAGAGGTGACTTTGATATCCGTGTTGAGGTGGTAATGAAATGCGCACTCACCGGACGTGCATATTATATGCGCCTTATGTGTAATAATCCTGCTGCCAGGTGATGGGTGGTGTTCCCTCTATCGGATTCTAGGTGAGTATTCCTTCTCCTCAGGAGGTCCCCCTATATGGTCCTAGAGGATGTTGTCACTCCAAATGGCCAGGGTGGTATGTGGTGATCCGTTCCTGGAGTGGGTCTGTGGACTAGAGCACTCCCCTAGTACCGCTCCCTGGGGGGGGGGGGGGGGGGGGGGGGGGGGAGGGACACACACACACACACACACACACACACACACACACACACACACTTTTCAGGTATTTAGCAAAACATATTCCAGCTATAGTTATATAATGGATATGGACTGAAAGTGCGCACTCTCGGGTTTAATTTGAGGGTATGTACATCCAAATTGGAGGAAGGGTTTAGGAATTACAGCTCTTAAGAGTAGCCATCCCCCCTTTTTCAAGGGACCAAAAGTAATTGGATAATTGAATCAAAAGCTGTTTCATGGCCAGGTGTGGGCTACTCCTTTGTTATTTCTTCATCAATTAAGCAGGTAAAAGGTCTGGAGTTGATTCTAAGTGCGGTATTTGCATTTGGAATCTATTGCTGTGAACCTACATCATGCGTTCAAAGGAGATGTCCATGCAAGTGAAACAGGCCATTGTAAGACTTCAAAAATGAAACAAATCCATCAGAGAGATAGCAGCAACATTAGGAGTGGCCAGATCAACAGTTGAGTATATTCTGAGGAAAGAAGAACGCGCTGGTGAGCTCAGCAACATAAAAAGACATGGACGTCCATGGAGGACAACAGTCCTGGATGATCGCAGGATCTCTCTATGGTAAAGACAAACCCATTCAGAACATCCAGACAAGTGAAGGACACTCTCTAGGAGGAGGGCATATCATTGTCAAACAAAGCAATAAATATCAAGACAGCGCTCTTAAGAAAGCTCTCTTGATATTTATTGCTTTGGTTGGTTGTCCTGTTTGGGTTGATAGCGGCTCTCCTTAAACATATATTTATATTTTTTCGAGTTCCAGTGACACTGTTCTTATCTGTTAATCATTCACGAGAGCAAATACAGAGGATTCACCACAAGGTGCAAATCATTCATAAGCCTGAAGAATAGAAAAGCCAGATTAGACTTTGCCAAAAAACATCTAAAAAAGCCGGACCAGTTCTGGAAAAGCATTCTTTGGACGGATGAAACTAAATTTAATCTGTACCAGAATGAAGGGAAGAAAAAGGTGTGGAGAAGACTTGGAACAGCTCATGATCCTGTAAATTCTAAATTCCAAATTCTGAGCTTTGAATTCCAACTTCCGATTTCTGAATTGCGAATTCTAATTTCCGAGCTTCAAATTCTAAGTTTTGAATTCTGACTTCCAAGTTCCAATTTCCAAAGTGATTTACGGATTCCAAATAAATTCTGAGTTCCAAATTCCAAAAGGGATTTACGGATTCCAAACTCCGAGTTCCAAAATCAGAGCTCTGCATTCCAAATTCCGAAGTCTGGATTCTAGATTCCAAATTTTGAGTTCTAAGTTCCAAATTCTGAATTCCAAATGATAATTTCTGAATGTCAAATGCTGAGTTTTGAATACAAAATTCTGAATGCCAGATTTCAAGTTCCAAATCCCAAATGCCGAGTTCTGATTTCCAAACTCCAGATTCTGAGTTCTGATTTCTAAAAATCCAAGTTCTAGATTCCAAATTCTGAGTTTGGAATTCTGAGTTCTGAATTCTAAATTTTGGAGTTCTGAATTCCAAATTTCGGAGTTCTGAATTCCAACTTACAAATTCCAAGTTTTGCATTTCATGTTCCAAATTTGAAAATTCTGAATTTCATATTCTGACTTCCAAATTACGAGTTCTGCATTCCAAGTCCTGAATTCCAAATTTTACATTCTAAATTCAAAATTCAGAGTTTTGAGTTCCAAATTTTGCATTCTGAATTCCAAATTCCTAGTTCTGAATTAAAACATTTTGTTTATAGCAAGGGAGGTTAATAATCTGTCAGGTTTATATTTGTTATCTGTGTCTCATTTGGAAGATTTCTTGGGCTTTAGTCTGACTCCCTAGGATAAATAGAGAGGGTGAATATCCCTCAGGGGGACGCAGACAGCAATACAATCCAGTTCTAATCTTTCTCCACTCTTTCCCAAATTAAAAAGAGCGGGCTTTGCCTTTGGTCAGCGGACATATTCGCCTGACAAGCACAGGACACTGTGAATATCATTGATAAGCAGTGAGTGGGGACTGGTCAGGACCAGTCACTCCTGTAAGGTGGTCCCGGCTCCGCCCACTTCCCCAGCGTCGTCAGGCAACCAGGACGCCGGAGATCTTTGCACGCGCCTCGCGCCACACCCCCTTCCCCACACCAACCAGCCTGTCCAACGGGGCACTGGGCGGGGCGTCGACGTCAGCGCCTGTTGATTGCTGTAGGGAAAAAAAAAAGTTTGTGGAGCTCCGGTCACGTGATGCGGGGTGCGCGTCCCCGCCGTATCCGGGAGGGGAGCTGTGAACGAGTGCGCGTTCTGGCTGGTTGGCCGGTTCCCCGGTGTGACCGGTAGAGGGAGCCGGCGGTGGGTGTAGGAGTGGTGGAGGGAGTATGTCGCCGTAGAGAGGAGACTATGAGGGGACGCGCCGTGTAGCGGAGCCCGGGGAGGAGGGGATGTTATCCAGGAAGAAGACCAAGAAAGAAGTTTCCAAACCGTCCGAGGTGCAGGGCAAGTATGTGAAGAAGGAGACCTCCCCGCTACTGCGGAGTAAGTACCGGACGGGGGGAGGGGAGACCGGGGCTGAGGCGGGGGAGGGGCCGGTGATAGGGGTTAGAAGGGGCTACAGATCTGGGCGGGGCTGAGCAGAGGTGAGTGTAGTCACTGGAGGTAACAACAAGGGGGGAGGGGTCAGCACAGCGGGCCGGGGGTCATAGTGGGGTCACTGGGGTAATAAGAGTCAGAACGGGGTCACTGTGCTCACTGAGAGTGGGAGCGGGATCACTGGGAGCTGGGGTGCGGGATCACTGGGAGCTGGTGCGGGCGGGATCACTGGGGTCGCCAAAAGCTGGAGTGGGATCACTGGGGTTGCTGAGAGTCGGAGCGGGTTCACTGGGAGCTGGTGTGGGATCAGTGGGGTCGCCGAGAGTCGGAGTGGGATCAGTGGTGTCGCCTCGAGTCGGACCGGAATCTCTGGGGTCGCCGAGAGCTGGAGCGGGATCTCTGGGGTCGCTGAGAGCTGGAGCGGGATCTCTGGGGTCACCGAGAGTTGGAGTGGGATCTCTGGGGTCACCTCGAGTCGGATCGGGATCAGTGGGGTCACCTCGAGTCGGATCGGGATCAGTGGGGTCGCCGCGAGTCGGAGCGGGATCAGTGGGGGTCGCCGCGAGTCGGAGCGGGATCAGTGGGGTCGCCGCGAGTCGGAGCGGGATCAGTGGGGTCGCCGAGAGTCGGAGCGGGATCTCTGGGGTCGCCAAGAGTCGGAGCGGGATCTCTGGGGTCGCCGAGAGTCGGAGCGGGATCTCTGGGGTCGCCGAGAGTCGGAGCGGGATCAGTGGGTCACCGAGAGTTGGAGCGGGATCTCTGGGGTCCCCTCGAGTCGGATCGGGATCAGTGGGGTCCCCTCGAGTCGGAGCGGGATCAGTGGGGTCGCCGCGAGTCGGAGCGGGATCTCTGGGGTCGCCGCGAGTCGGAGCGGGATCAGTGGGGTCGCCGCGAGTCGGAGCGGGATCAGTGGGGTCGCCGCGAGTCGGAGCGGGATCAGTGGGGTCGCCGCGAGTCGGAGCGGGATCTCTGGGGTCGCCGAGAGTCGGAGCGGGATCTCTGGGGTCGCCGAGAGTCGGATCAGTGGGTCACCGAGAGTTGGAGCGGGATCTCTGGGGTCCCCTCGAGTCGGAGCGGGATCAGTGGGGTCCCCTCGAGTCGGAGCGGGATCAGTGGGGTCGCCGCGAGTCAGAGCGGGATCTCTGGGGTCGCCGCGAGTCGGAGCAGGATCAGTGGGTCGCCGAGAGTTGCAGCTGGAGCACTGGGTCGTCGAGAGTCAGAGCGGGATCAGTGGGGTTGTAGCGGGATCAGTGGGGTAGCCATGAGTCGGAGCAGGATCTCTGGGGTCGGAGCGGGATCAGTGGGGTCGCCAAGAGTCGTAGCGGGATCAGTGGAGTCGTAGCGGGATCAGTGGGGTAGCCGTGAGTCGGAGCGGGATCAGTGGAGTCGTAGCGGGATCAGTGGGGTAGCCATGAGTCGGAGCAGGATCTCTGGGGTCGCCGAGAGTTGGAGCTGGAGCACTGGGTCGTCGAGAGTCAGAGCGGGATCAGTGGGGTAGCCATGAGTCGGAGCAGGATCTCTGGGGTTGCCGCGAGGCGGAGCGGGATCAGTGGGTCGTCGAGAGTTGGAATGTGATCACTGGGGCTACTGAGAGTAGGGATAGGGTCTCTGCAGTCGCTGAGGCTCATAGCGGGGTCTCTAGAGTTACTGAGTTGGAGCGGGGTCTCTTGGGTCAATGAGTCGAAGCAGGGTCACTGGGGTTGCAGAGAGTCAGAGCAGGATGTCTGGGGTCACATAGAGTCTCGGCAGGGGTTCGCTGAGAGTCAGGATGGGGTCTCTGGTCACAGAGTTGAGCGGGGTCTTTGGGATTGCTATGAGTCAGGGCAGTTGCTGAAATTCATAGCAGGGTTGCTGAGAGTTGGAGCTATAGGGCACTAGGGTCTCTGCAGTTGCTGATGTTCTTAGCGGGGTCTCTGGCATCTGAGAGTCGGAGCAGGGTCTCTGGGGTTGCTGAGTGTCAGACAGGGTCACTGGGGTCTGAATTTTATAAAATCAGTGCTTGGAAAAATTCCCCCCCCCCCCCCAAAAAAAAAACAACAAAAAAACAAGGCCATCGCCAAACCTCCCGTACCTAGAAAAACCCCATTACCCCAAATAGGTCCCCAAACTTGGACAATATATTCCCGGCACTTGGAGACTCCGTTCCCTAACAGCTAAAAATTGTTCGAGTCGATATACAAAAACCTTCCAGCTGTCTTGTCTTCTTTGTGAATCTCTGCATGGAAGACAACTTGAAGGTTTTTTCTTTACTGACTCGGACAATTTGTAGCTGTTGGGGGTCGGGGTCTCCAAGTGCTGGGAGTATATTGTCTAAATGTAGGGTCTCTGGTTTTGCTGAGAGTTGGAGTGGGGTCATTGTGTTCACTAGGAGTCAGAGCGGGGTTTCTCAGGTTACTGATGATCAGAACGGGGTCACTGGCAGTTGGAGGGGAATCTCTAGGAGTTTGAAGAGAGTGTTTACATTTAGTCAGAGTTGGGTCTGTGGGTTACTGATAGTTGGAGCGGGGTCTATGGGGTCATTGGAAATTGGAGTGGAGTCACTGAGACTTGAAACGGGGTCGTGAAGTGTGCAGAGCAGGGTCTATTGGGTCACTGGGAGTCAAAGCAGGGTCTTTGGTTTCTTTGAGTTCACTGAGAGTCTGATTGGGGTAACTGGGAGTTGTAGTGGAGTCTATGGGGTTGCAGGGAGTCATCGCTTGTTCACTGGGATTCAAGTATGTTCACCTGGAGTTGGAGCTGGGTCTCTGGGATGACTGAGAGTCAGTAAAGGAGTCACTGAGAGTCAGTAATGGGGTCACGGAGAGTCAGCGAAGGGGTTTCTAGGGTCATGAAGAGTCAGCGAAGGGGTTTCCCTGGGTTCATTTATTTAGAACAGATGAGTTATAAAATCACTAAGCGTGAAAGCCAGACTGGGGGATCTATAGGGTCACTCAGTACCCGGGTCAGTTTTTTGCTCATGCTGAGAATCTGAACAGGGGATCTATAGTGTCACTAAGTATCTTGAATCATTCCTGTAGGGTCACAGAGTCAGAATGAGAGCTCTACAAGTATGCAATCACTTTGTCAAATCAAGATCTATGGAATAATTTAAAAAGTCGATCTCTGCCATCGCTGAGAGTCAGAGTAGGGCATCTTCAATGCAAAAGCGTCAGTTTTGGAGTGTCTATACCAGTGCCTCCAGGGTCACAGAAAGTCGGATAAAGGATGTTTTGGGTGGGAATATCTGAGCGTTATGCAGAATGAGTCAGGACAGATGAAGGTTCAGATCCCCCAACACAGACCTTGGGGCTAGCTGAGAACCAGAGATCTCTAGGGGGCCCAGATCCTTGTCTGTGGGTCTCCAATACCAGCGCAGAGCCTAGTCTGGAGGTCTCCAATACCGGCGCGTAGCCTAGTCTGGGGGTCCCCAATACCGGCGCGTAGCCTGGTCTGGGGTCTCCAGTACATAGGAAAATCATTTCAGGAGGTCTGTGGTTATTGAATCATTAGCATGTCTCCTCCAAAGTGTGGGGGGTAAGGGGCTCTTGAGGCTGACTGAGAGGGGCCTCAGAATCATTGAGATTCCATTCTTCACTGGGTTGGAGGGCCAGTTGAAGTATCTCTGGGGTGAAGTCAGATCAGAAGTCTTCAGGGTCACTGAGAATTAAGCATGTGTGAGGGAGTTGTTGGACATGTAGTTCAGCCTGTAAGGACTGATATGAATTACTGTCACCTGACATCTTTGAATATCTTGACATCACTCCACTCCAAAATGTTTGAGTCAACTCGGAGGACACCATGGTGGAAGAGTCAGTTCTGGGGTCTTTAGTATGGTCAGTCCGATCGTTGGCCTTATATTAGTGGTCTGAAGGTTGGGTTCTATCTATGCAGGGTCTAAGGCAGGGGTGCTCAACCTGTGGCCCTCTGATATGGCCCACGACTTCAAACCAGGAAGGAGCATGGCTAAGGTTGGCAACCCGTTGATCGCAATCTGGGCTTGTACCCCTGCAGGTTAGGGGTACTGGCCTTGGTTTGGAGACATTTCCAATGGGACACACAAGTAAAGAAAAAATAATGGCATTGAAGCTGAAGTTTGTGTATGGCTATTTTTGCATCCTACATCGGTTCAACTTGGACCCATGGTAAGGCCATACAGAATTCACTTTTTATTTAATTCAACTCGCTGGTTGAACGAAAAAAAAGAAAATTAACCTATTCCCCCATCCACACATTGGAGGTGGATGAGGGAATCTTTCCCACTGAGGTATTGTATTTTGCTGGCGGGGAGCTTTCCCTGCTGGCAGAATACAATGATCAGTGTTGCTGGCTATAGCCAATGGCACTGATTGTTGGGGAAAAACCAGACAAGCTGGATGTACACGAGTTAATCAAAAGATCAACTGTACAATCAGCTAGCCCATACAAAGGATCGAAAATCAACAGGTCTCTGATGAACCAGACAGATTTTGATCCACATGTGGCCAGCTTAAATGTTCATACACCATACCTAGCAGTCCCCATGAAAGTTAGAGATCACATTACTAGGCACCGCTAATACAGTGGTCCCTGCTAGCTTCAAGGTCCCATGCGAAGCACGTCAGCTTGGTCGGCTTTGGAACCAATCAGAGAACACATTGCATTTTCACAATGAAAATATTTCTCTGATTGGAAAAAGGAGAGGTTGTGATGGCATCGTCCTGCCTCTTACCCTCATCCAGTCAGAGAACACTTTGCATTCATTGGGGAAAAGTGGAGGTGTTCTTTGGCATTTCGCACAGAATCCGGAAGCTAGTGGCAACCACTGGAGTAGTGGTGTCTACTACAAGGATTTCCAGCTTCCACTGGAATCCCTCGGGTATGGCACCTTCATGCATTGGTCCAAGCTGGCCCAGTGGACCTATGTGAAAAATATTTATTATTATGACTTTGGTCGTTGGGTTCAGGTCAGAATCTTCAGTTTAGAGGTC